TAGCGCCATCAACCCGATCAGTACTTGTAATCTGCTCAAAGGCGCGCAACCCTGTCTGTCGGGATTTCTGGAACGGTGTGATCGTCCGCCAAATCTCGTGCTCGGTAGGGCTCTCGGTAGGGCTTACCGGTCGGTATTACTGTGCTGGCTGAGTGCTTGCCATGAGGGAGTTTTCATACGAAGTAACATCCGTGCCCGTGACTCCAGGTCCAGTCCGGTCTACCGGTAGTCCAGTCCAGTCCAGTCCAGTCCAGTCCACTCCCACCTCAGTCCGCTCCGCACCTTCCTTCTTTTGAAAAAGTCAGCCACGCTAGCAAATACGGAGAAGCATCCACTTCATATCACATCTTTACATCTTTACATCTTTACACCTTTACACCTTTACACCTTCACACCTTCACACCTTCACACCTTCACATCTTCACATCTTCACATCTTCACACCTCCCCGAACGCTCTTGACTTTCCTTCCTCCGTGCTTGACATCTATCTGCAGCTACTCCCGTACGACTCACGAATCTAGATCCATCATATCAGAGATACCCAACTAACCCACCTGTCGCTGTCGCTGTCGCAGTCGCAGTTGCAGGCCAACTCAGCGCTCAGTCCGTCCCGTCGGCACCCTGTCTATCCCCTCTCTCTCTTCCAAGTCCCCAGCCATCATGACCAGTTCAAGTTATCTGCAGCGCAGGATGGAGGGGATGAGCATGAGCTCGAGTCCCATGTTCAGGACGTTTGACTCCAAGTTGGCGAGAGCTTATTGGTATATCATTGCCGCCGTCTTGGGCTTTGCGCTGTTGCTGAGAGCGTTGGACTACTATCAGACTTGGTCAAGGTTAGCAAGTTCCACGATACTGGCACTGGTGGTGGCAGTACCTCGCGTCAGAGTGCAGGCCTGACGTCTTCTTCAACCAGACTCCGTGTATGCCGGACCCGAAAATCAATCAAGCACCCCACGAAGGTCAACGGCGTTCCGATGCAGTGCTATGCGACAGCCACCGCCATCCTCCGCGAAGCAAGCTATCCCCAGATCTATTTCGGCGGGCTGTTCTCGTGGCTGAGCCCACCTCCCCTCGGGCGCTTGTTGGTACTCGGCTGTTACTGGGCTGTGGTTGTGTACATGATGACCTACAAAGCCATCATTCACGACGCGAATTACTACGAGAGACTCGGATTCCGAAATGCATGGATCTCGGTCACACAGGTCCCGCTCGTTTACCTTTTGGCCACGAAGTCGAGTCTCATCGGATTTATCCTGGGAAGCTCGCATGAGCGGCTCAATTGGTTGCATCGGTGGGTGTCGAGAACCTTGCTGCTGACCGTGACAGTTCACGGAGCATTCTTCGTGACTGAGTGGGTGCGAGCGGACTTCTTCCAGCTGGAATTAGAGATGATGCCCATGGTTAAGTACGGCATGGGAGCATGGGGCGTCCTCGTCTGGACGTTCTTCGCCTCCCTCCCACCCTTACGGGGGATGGCCTACGAGCTCTTCGTACTGCAACACATCGCAGCTGCAGGGGTCTTCCTCTGGCTACTGTACGTCCACGTTCCTGACTACGCCAGATACAACATCTGGTTCGCCATCGCAGCCATCTCCTCGGACTGGATCCTCCGAGGCTTCCTCACGATTCTCGGAAACTTCCGTCCCAAGTCCAAGAAAGCCTGCAACGGTACCCAGCGTATCGGTCACGAAATATCTGCCGAAGCTCTTGGCAAAGACCTAACAATCGTCACGATCAGAGACGTGCACATCTCGTGGAAACCAGGACAGCACATCTATCTCTGGCTTCCCTACCTCGGTCCTCTTGAGTCCCATCCTTTCACGATAGCTAGCCCATACACGACGGGGGCGGATTGCCATTGTAATGAAATTCAGCTTGCGATCCGCGCGCACTCGGGATTCTCACGTCGGATCCACAATTTTGCAGAGGAGAACGAGGCAACCGCGAAGAATTCTCTGACAGGCTTCATCTCCGGACCTTACGGGGCACCACCTCACTGGGAAGCTTTCGAGACGCTGGTTCTGATATCAGCCTCAACAGGGGCATCCTATACCCTGCCCATACTCGAGAGTCTCCTCGCGTGCCCGACGACAATCTGCACTCGGCGGATCTCCTTCCTGCTGATTGTCAAAGAAAGCTCGCATTGCGAATATTACCAGAATCGCCTCACTAAAGCGTTGGCACAAGCTGAAGCCCGCGGCATTGACCTAGATGTCGAGATTGCGGTTACAGGGCAAGCATCATCGCTCGTTGAGAGTGATCGCAAAGATAGCAAAGCCCTCATAGATACCGTCGTCGAGGAAAGAAAGTCAGGATCAAGCATCGATGAAGGGACAGAAGAAGAGAAAGCAAGTATCCTGTCCAAATCAGATTCCATATCCTCCCTTTCCATCTCCAAAGCACCGCCTTCTCAGCCCGTTAAGAATAGTAAATTCTGCTGTAGCTGCAGCGACGGCCCGGGACCGTGCTGCTGCGCCGGCCCTAGTGCAGTCACGAGGAGGGAGATTGTGTACTCGTACGCCCGGCCTGATATAGGGTCATTCATCAGGGGTCCGGTCGAGAGGACAGGCGGCGAGACGTCTGTTGCAGTATGCGGGGGCAAGTCGCTCGTGGCTACGGTGAGAAACCAGGTGGTGCGGCTGAGTGATGATAGGGGTGTGCATAAAGGGACGGGTGCGCAGGGTATACATTTGCATGTTGAGGAGTATTCTTTTTAAGAGCAGGGGGGGCCTCGGGGCCAAATGTTATGAATAATGTGGTAATGGATATGAAACGCTGCTTAGAGATGATTAGATTAGATAATTCAGACAACATACTGCAAAGAAACAAACATGATTGTAACATGGATTTTGGATTTCGGGCTGGCTGCATGAAGTTCGTGTCAAGTGTTTACATATAGTAGTAGTAGTACCACGGTACAGGCCTAAGTATTACCCCTCGAGGGTGCCTCAAAAGTTTAGTTTCTACTCTAGACCCCCTGGTTACCCTACCCTTGAGGGGTAATACTTACGCCTGGGACGTAGTACGTCCCCCGGAAATCTTGTTACCGTATCCTACGCAGGCCCCCAAGTCTACGTTTTACAATTCCATATGCTCGGCCTTGTGTTCAGACTCAGATTCAGGCTCAGGCTCGGGCTCAGGCCCGATACCAGACATGTCCAGGTCGCCGGTGCTGGACTCGTACCACTCATTCGTGGTCCAATCCGCGATGAGCGATTTTGCGTTCTCGGAGAGGGCGTAGTACCCGGGATTGTCCTTGGGGAAGAACATGCCTGGCGGAGTGGAGTGGTTAGCCAAGTAACTTACTTGACTTGGTTTCTCGCTTACCCCCTTCCCCTCTCCCCCCTTTTGGCGGGGAGCAAAAACACTCGCTTACTGTTCTTGAACGAGCTGGAGGAGAAGAAGATGAAGATGGGAAGAGAGGGGAATGACGGGATTGAGAGATTGGAATGAAGGAACTTACTAATATGCGCCCCGGTCTCGTCACCCGCTGCATCGTTAACCGCCTCCCTCCAGAAATCGCGCCCACCCACCTTCTCGTCCCTCCCGCTCGGCAGGTTGCAGAAGGTTCTCTGGTGACCGACCACGCTGCCGACCAGGGTCGTACCGTCGCTCTTACTCAGCGCCTTGCTGCCGAGCCGCGTGTATATGTTCGCCCAGCCGACCCCGAGCTCGCGGTTCAGAGTCACGAGCGAGGAGACCCGGGTACGCAACTCTTCCCCTTTCATCAGGCAGCCCACGAACTCGAGATGGGATCCGACCCACGACCAGCCAGCTGTGATCTGGTCCCGCTTTAGATACGCAGCTGCGGCGCCGCCTGCGACTGCTGCGCCTGCTCCGGCGAGAGCGGCGAGTTTCCCCCACTTTTGCCAGGCAGGGACGACTTGTGCTGCTGGTGTTGCGGAGGAGGAAGTAGCAGATGGGGGAGGGAGGGAGGCGAGAGGTTCTTTCTTGACTTTGTCTTCTTTGTTGACTTCGCTTGCGGCTTTGGATCCCCATATTGCTCCCGTCAGACTAGATAGTTGTGTTAGAGCAGATGAAGCGGTGTTGTAGTGGCCTTCTGCGCCATGGGCTACGACACCAGGGGATATTCCTAGGTACGGGGTGTCGAAGGCTAAGACGCCGGAGATGTAGGGGAACATAAGGGAGTTGATTGAGGAGGGGTCTTTGGGTTTTGAAGGAGAAGAGGATGACGGCCGCGAAATGGCGAGGTCGTAGGTTATAGAGAGGAGGGTATCTGCGGCGACTATGCCGCCCATGGAGTGTCCGATTAGGATTGTGTGGACCGAGGGATCGATGGTCGGGGAGGGAGTTGAAGAGGCGACTTCAATGTCGATGACTTTCTCGAGGAGCCTTGGGGGATGTTTAGCTGGGTATTCTCCGCAGATTGGGTAAATATGAGGATTTAGCATATTTCCCGGCTCGAACTACCAAGTTCTGCAGATGTCCCAGATGACTCGGGAAATTGAGGCTTCCCAAAGTCGCATACTCGACCCAGACATTCAACCCCTCTTCTGCATCAGTGTCGAGGAAAGCGCGTATATTCCACCTACCAGTCTTTGAATCTGCTCACACATTCTGCCAGATCTCCTCTCGTCTCGAATTTCGGGTACACGATGGCGCGGACATCGACTTTGGGCAAGGCATGACTGACCAGAGCCCGCAGATGCTCGGGGAAGCCTCCGAATGTGTCGTCGCCCCCCTATTTCTCTATCAACGATTGTTCTGCAGGTTTAGAGGGACAGTCATACCTTGAAGCCGTGGATGAAGCACAGCAGAAGCGTCTTCTTCATCGTGGTATTATCATGTTCTACGTGGACTCGTATCTGTGGAGCGAAACGAGTTGATCATGGATGAGTTTCTTATCTAGCAGAGCCCGATAACTTCTGGGTACAGACTCGGACTCGGACTCGTACTCGGCACCGGAGCTTTGGTTGCGGGAAGTGGGGTCAGAGTCAGACTGCTCGCTAGAGCTCGAGTAGGCGAGTCGGAGCACAACACAACATCCCCCTTCTCTTGACACGAAGCGTCGAATGGATTTGGATATAATGCAGCTATCTTTGTTTACCTACTGTCAGATAAATGTCATGCCTTGAGATCTGTTTTTCGTTCCGCTCGTACAATGGATTTTGGCTCTCTCTTTGTCCTTCCTTCGTACCTGTCAGCAAAGACATCCTTGGTACCGGTACTTTTTTCATCCAGTCAGGCCCAGTCACTCATCGAAGCTGTATCGTATCTGACATCATCTTATTCAATTCTCGTGACACGTTGCACCCAAACTTTCTAGATCAAGATCTAGCCCTCTTCATAGTAAGTAAGTATCATATTCATTTCTTCTCAACCTCGCCTCCGTAGCGTGCGAACATGAATCGAAACGCAAATCGAGACTCTCAAGACAAGGGATCGCGCCCCGTGGGCATCACGGGCAGGGCCGTATTTGGATTTCTCGATTTTGTCACGGGCCGTGGTAAGCAAGCCCAATGGTCAACAAGCTCAAAATCCAGTCGCAACTTTCGTCAACCATCTCCCAATACAAGAATCAAGAGCATCTACCAACCTCCACCAATCACCCCTTCCCGAGTCAAGAGACCTCGATCTCTTACTCCGACTCCTTCGACCGAGAGATTCTTCAGCTATGATGAGCAGAACCAGTCTTCGCTATTCAAACTCCCTCCAGCAGCGTTTGCTTTACTCTATCAGTATCTTCTCGGTGACAGGCTCATTCATATTGTGGTTTCAAACGACGGCCTTCGACACAGTCGATGCCAAGTCGAACTTCCGAACCATCACGACGAATGTCACGAACAGCGCTGCCGAGGGCTCAAGCTCCCTTCCGGTCTCTATACCGACCGTTCTCAAGTCCAAGACAACTTCCTCCCTCTACTTCAGACATGTAGAAAGATGTAAGATCCCCCACACAAACTCCAAGAGGCATCTGGAGCTAAGAGATCCAGCTATTCTTCAGCAATTCACGTCCTTTACAAGAGTAACATCTTCGACTTCGATAGTATGGAATCGCTCCTTCGCCTTTCCACTACTATCCTTCCGCAGCGCTTTGATAGCATCCAGCGTCTGTCTCTGGATTTTCGCTTTAAGGCTTCGTTCAGATTCGGTCAAGGCACGCCGTCTACAGATTGGCCGCGGTGGGAGCGGTTGTGGAGAGTGATCGGTAGTATGGAGGGGTTGCAGGAGGTGTGGGTCAGGATCGAGTGTATGTATCTCGCGCGCGCCTTGAAAATCCACTTTCGAATGTCCCGAGGTCTCGCGGGAATATGTCATTTCTCCGAAAGACTGTAGGTTTGGCCAAAAACTGACTTTCTGTAGGGCATAAAGAGGACGTCGGGCTGGTGAAGGAGAGAATGTGGCTGGATGAGCTGAGTATGGTGAAGCGACTGAAGACCTTCGAGGTCGAACTGCCCGGCCTGAAGGAACATGAGGTTCTCGTCGATGAGAGCTTTCGGAGGCTGCATGGGGAGTGGGAGTTTGTTGTTAGGAGGCGAGATGCCTAGACGACGAAAGCACCAAGTTTGGAAGCGGAAATCTGTAAATATCCCAGTAAGTGTTGGCTCTCCCTTCCGCGCAGAATATGTCATTTCATGGCAGGAATCTTGTTGGTCCGAATATACGAAGCATTAGAATCCCTGCTCTTCCTCGCAGTATACCGCATCGAATATCAAACTTATCATTTTCACGTCGAGTCTGCATGCTGGGCCGCAAGTTTAGTTTCCTCTTGGCATTAGCTTAGAAACTTCGGGGTCTGGATATAGCAGCTTTCCACTGAGGATTCACCCACTTCTCTTCATGTAGCGACAGCTTTCCTCGTACGGGTCGTGTTTCTACACCCGGTTGACTCCTTTACCTATACAAACCGACTCCCGGTACCTTTCCAAGCCAGCTTCTAGATGAGTTTCCACACGGGCATAGACCCCGCTCGACTAGTGCCCCGGAGGTATTAGATATTCGCATTTGGGAAAGGATTGCCTGCAGAACGAACTCTATGGGAGCTCCGGAAACACGAGTAGTCACTTGGGTTGTAAGCGAGAGCCTGGAATGACCGACAGAAATGCATGATCTCGAGAAGATAAGAACCGAGCCAGATGTGTGATTTCTAAACTGAATGTCGAAGACGACAGCGTTATTCGGTTTAGATACAAAAGGCAAGGCGCTAGCGAGAGCGATCCTGGCTGTAGATACCTCACACGATGCTAGGATCCCGCCTCAGAACCTCACGGCCTTCAACAAATTCCGGCTCGGGATCGTCCGTGATGCCCGCGAGCTGGGTGACGACTGCCGCGCCAAAGAAGTCCCCGCTCACGTTGACCACGGTGCGGAAACGATCCAGAAACCAATCAAAGGCCACGACGACGGCGTACATGCCGGTGATCGGGACGTCGATGCTGTTGGCAATCATGACCGTCAACACCAGCGACGAGCTTGGGATGGGCGCCGCTCCAATCGTCGCCACGGTGGAAAGGAGGCATATGACGATGTAGTCCACAACCTGCAACGTGTGGCCCTGGGTAGCCGCCAGAAATACCACGACGATGGGAAAGTAGATCGCCGTCCTGTTTGCAGCGTGTGTTAGCATCGTCACCTGCGTTCATGTCTCAGGGCAGCAGCTCACCCATCCATGTTGATCATGGTCCCGAGAGGCACCACGAACTGGGTGGTCATCTTGGGCAATCCTCGGTCCAGACAGCACTGGAGCGTCACGGGAAGAGTCGCAGCCGAAGACGCCGTTCCCCAGGCAGTGATCCACGACTTGGAATTCTTCATCCAGTACACCCACGGATTGGTCTTGGTGACAAAGTAGAATATCGCCGAGAGGGCGACGAACAGATGGATGGCCATCATGGAGAGTGCCCCTCCTACCAGGATGCCCAGGTTGTACCCGATCTCGGCGATGTTGAGTCGGAAGAGGTTGGGCAAGATCAAGAAGAAGACACCAATGGGAGCGAGTTTGATGAGGAACGTGACAATCGTGATGACAATTGCTTCGATCTCTCGCACTGCGCGAACGATACCGGAGCCCGGTTTCAGCAGATAGCCGCAAACCATGGCGGCTATGAGCACGGCGAGCAGGTCGTCGTTCGTGAGAGCGTAGAAGACGTTCTGGGGGATAAACGATTCAAACAACGAAAGGATGACTATTGAACACGGTAGAGTCAGTACTGCTGCGCTGAGCATCTATGGCGAGGCCATGCAACGAACACCCTCGAGGACTGGGAAAAGGAAATGCCTACCTTCGTGCACCGGGGTACTGTCGCCAGTCTCGGCGAGTTCAGTGCCCCTGTCTCCGAGCGAATCTTCCGACAGTGAGTCTGCGCTGGCTTCGTCGAAGAGTCTTCGCCACACCAGGCCGGTGAGGAGAGCGCTCTGGATGATAGCGATGAATGTTGTACAGAGGAAGTATCCGATGGTCCAGCGGGCGATCGCAGCACCGCTTTTGGACATTTCCTTGAGCTGCTGAATCGCAAGCACAACAGAGGTGACAATCAATGGCAGGACTAACGTCAATAGTCAGCGTCGCTGTTCCAAGCCACGACTCGTTGTTACTGTGGGGGTCGGATCGGGTGCATACCAACGGCTCGAAGAGCACGAAGCCAAAGAGTACCAGGGATCCCGACAAGCACACGAGCTGAAGTTGGGATATCATCGACGGTCTCGCTGATCGTGACACCGAGAGCGATGGCGAGCAAGGCCGCCACGACGATCTGGGGTGCGGATCCGGGCTCTTTGATGGAGGACCACCAGGGCCGGTTCTCTTCTGGTTTGGCGGAAGAAACCTCTACTGCGGAAGACGTCGATGGGGACTGGGAAACGGTCCCCTGCACATCGTTCTTAACAGGCGTCGGCTTCTCCATTGCAGGATCTCTGGCAATCAATCCTGTTGTCCGTTATGGGAAGAGCACGATGGATTGCTGTTCGTGTAGACCTCCCGCTGTATAGGTCTTGGATGCTCACCGTTGGAGACCCAGGTTAATATACCCAACCAGCCACCCGCCTGTCCTCTCCGTTATCACCAACGGCGGGCAGGGCTGAGGCCAAGACGGAGATACTGCAAACTTCTCCCATTATCTCTCCCAAGCTACTACGTATGCAGAGTGCTGAGAGAGAGCGGTAACAAGAATCCGTCGATTCTCTGATTCGCGGTGTTCAAGAGTGACAAGAGAATTGGCTCGGCAATCTGGCCACTTACGAAGCGAACAACGAGCAGACAAGACTCTCTTGGCCTTGCCAACTTCCCAATTGATCTAGCTCTGGCCGATTAGGCTCGAGGGTTCTATCGCATCCACTCATGGCTGGTTCCGACCACGCGGGGTCAACAACAGGTCCTCCTTGGCTTCGCTTGGAGCTCTTGAACTATATGTATTACTTGCAGTAGAACTGTCCGTAGAAAATGGTTTTCCCGCGCGACTTGTAGTAGTACTCACAGTAGCAAAGAGGCAGGTTCGTGATTCACAGCCACATACCTACTCTTCTTCGAAAGGATAAGAAAGGGGTCGAGAGAAGCAAAGAATAGTCTCTTCTCTGGGCTCCGACTAGTGAATCGTAGAGCGGTGCTTTCTGAACGGCTTAAAGCCCTGTCAACTCTACCGCACAGACTAAATACCGGCTCAAAGATACTATACTTTTCCAAGGCTCAAAGTAAGTTGATCGGTTTAAAAGCTGGTACTACGTAAGATCCCTTGCAGAATTATACTTTCTCTCGCCGTGTACGTAGTATTCATGGGAGGAGAGTACTTGCCCTCCTTCTTGCACCGCACAAGGTACTTCTACTAAGTATCTAACTCTCCTGTATGGTAAAAACAAATCGCGACCTGAGATTCTTCGCAGCCCATCGAAATAGGTAGGTAGGTAGGTAGTAGGTAGGTTCTCTGCACGAGCTTACTTACTACGTAGTACATCCAAGCACGAAAGCTACTCCCTCTCACGACCTGACGAAACGGGACACGCCTGCAGACAAGCAGGCAAGCAGGCATATCTAGATTCCAGAGAGGCAATCGACAAACAACCCCCTACGGAGCTGGATACGTACGTACGTAGTACGTAGTAGAACGGGGATCGAAGCTTTCTGTGCCTTCGATTGTGGGAACACGGTTAGGCGATCAACAATTCACCGGGCGGCTTTGGGAGGAGATTTGTAGCGATATACGTAGTAGTAGTAGTTGTAGTTGTACGTAGTACTATGTATGTTCAAAATCCCGAGAAGATTCGAAACGCAGCGTCCTGCGCAAACGGTTCGTTGTCTTTTCATCTCATCTCATCTCATCGCATCTCATCTCATCTCATCTCACCTACCGTAGAGACAATCCCATCAAGCGTGGAAATCTACTAGTACCTTGCCTATCCACCCAATCCGATCGAATCCCTATGTACTATATGCTCTTGTACTCCGTCAAAGCCAAGAACCGTTACTACTATAGTAAGTATTGCATCTACTAGTAGTAGTACTACGTAGTACTTACTGTACTAGGTACTAGGTACTAGTACTTTACTTTCTATAGTTGTACCAGTACCGTACCACGGACGGACTACCTACCCCTCCTCCTCCTCCTCCCCCCGGTACCGGTAGCATACCTACCGTATGCCTGTCCTCCGTACTCCACACGGTACGAAAAGCGTAAACAAACAGCTCTTGGCGCAGAGACTTCCTGCGGCACACCCAAACAGACATACCTTTTTTTCTTTTTCTTTTTCTTTTTCTTTTTCTTTTTCTTTTTCTTTTTCTTCTTTTACTTCTTCTTTCTTCCTTTTTTTTCCTTTTCTCTTCTTGGCTCGATGCATGCTTGACGAAGCGGCGAAGCATATCTGGCTCTGTAGTACTGTAGTAGAAGTAGGTACGGTACGGTACCCGTACAGAGGATTTACCCGAGCGCCCGTTACTTACGTACGTACTGTACTGTGCAGACGCAGACGGAGTACCTACCGGTCGGTACCTACGTAGGTAGGTACCTAGGGAGCCACCCACTACTTACTACTACCTACTCAGCCACCCAACCCAACCCACCCACCCACTCCGAAGGAACGGACTCGCGTGTCTAGCTAGGTAGGTCTTGCTAAAGGCCAAGAGGAGATCGTCTGCTAGGTCTGCGTTCGAGAAGATGGGTGATCCTTTTTTTTCTTTTTCTTCTCCTTCTTTTCCTCTCTGGTACAGTAGAGTTTTGAATTTCCTTTTTCTTTTTTTTCTTTTTTTGAATTTCTTTCCTTAGATGGTTGGTTGATTTGTTGATACTACAGTACTACGGTAGGTACGTATGCAAGCCCCTCCCCCCCCCTGGCCCTTTGAACTAAGCATCCATCTACTACCTACACACAAACCATACGTAATCGAGACCCTGTTCGATCGCGACGTTTTGCCTCCTGGGTACCTAATCGCAAGCAGATACTACGTACTACTACTTAAGTAGGGTGAGTAGGGGTCAGCAAGCGGCTCGTCGTCACCAAACCAACAGAGTAGTACTTCTACTGTACCTACTCCGGAGTACGTCAAACTCTACGGCCTCTTTGACCTACCGTACCGGTACCCTTGTGGCCATTGTGGCCAAAACCTCTCCTTTCCTTGCCTTTCCTTTCCTTTTCTCTCCGTCATCGGCAGCTCCAGATGGTGTGGCTGGGGAGATTGTCCGGGGATGGATGGATGGATGGATGGATGGGACGGAGGGATGGGTGGATTGATTGATTGTACTGGGCGTGAAGCACGTAGAGCACGTAAAGCACGTGTAGCATGTTCGGGTACTATATACACAGTACTACGTAGTACGTCGTACATACTACGTACATAAATACATACATACGACTACGTAGTACATACAGTACATAGTAGTACTGTAAACACATCCATCCTTGACCGCGCTCAGAAATAAGCGTCCCTGAAAGCCTTGTTGTCGGCGTAGTATGGTACAGTATGGTACGCAGAACTGTATCTCGGGCGTGAAATTTGCTTTTGCCCTGAAAGAGAGAGAGAGAGCGGAGGGAGAGACAGAGCTCCGACTGATCCTTGCCCGCTTTCTCTCTCCCTGCTGCTCGTAACCACCCTCCTTCTGAAGACCCTTCCTCCCAGATACTTCTACTCTGAGGGACCAGGGACTAGGGAGTACCTGGACCATCTGAACGAAAGGCTAGATATCGTTTGCGAGAGATCGATGACCGAGCGGGCGGGGTCTTCGAGAGCACCCGCGAGAGTATCATTGCGGACGCGACGAGCGGGGATGCCGGCGACGGCGCCCCCGGCCCCGGCCCGCTGAGATCACTCAGATCGCTCGCGGCGGTGCTTTTCCGCTCGGGAACGCCGCGGGCGCCGTACCCGTATCGATTCAGCCCTTTTTTTTTCTTTTTTTTTTCCCCCATTCTGGGAACACCGCTGCGACCGATCACTTGGTGTACTTGTTGAGATGGGACCACTGTGATCCGGTCGCTGCTGGAATTAGTGCTGCGATAACCCCCCCCCCTTCCCCCCAACCGGTACAGGTTACAGGTTACATGTTGACCCGACGGCATTTGGTGAAGAGTAGTTGAGATGAGATAAGTCACCGATGGGATGAGGGTAAAGTGGCAGTTGGAGAAAACGAGGGATGAGCTAGAAGCTAGAAGCACAGCGTGAGCGAGGGAAGCCTACAACACAAGGGAGCGGCCGAGGACAGAACTGAAAGTCCAACCAAACGGGATGGATGGAAGGAAGGAAGAAGAGGGGCTTCTCTTTTTCGCCTTGCGTACCGACGGAGAAGCTTCAAGACGCGATTCCCATTCTGCGAATCCCCGATTCCAGCTCCGAGCCCTGGACAAAGCTGTCAGGAAACAATGACTCCCAGCTGAGCACGGTAGCGGGAGGAGAAAGCCGCCAGGTGAACCCCAGTGTCACTTGCGTGGGGGATGCCGCGAGGCGGTCGCGAGCACCATGATGACCCTGTGCTGTGTTGTGGTTGTAGTTTGGAATCTCATCGTCGTGAGCCCCCGTCCCGTGGGCTCTCCAGAGATCGCAATGGGCGCCGCTGTTCGGTGCTGGTGATTCGTTTTGTGGTCTGGGGTCTGGGGTCTGGGGTCTGGGGTCTGGGGGGGAGGAGCTCGTCGCCCGCTGTGGGCATGATCGAGAGCTGTAGTAAGGAGTCAAGAAATCAGCATGTACATTCGCGTCTGGTCTTGCTTGAGGAGCCTACGAGACGTCTGTCTGACTGTGCTCTCATCAGGCTCTCGGGACGCGTAGACGGATGTCACTTACAGGAATCCAGGTGGCCCTCTCATCTTGCGCCCCCCCCCCATCCCCTCTCCCTTGGGGCTTGTGTCTTGACTGTGATGCAAGTGAAAGTTGGACGTCTCCCACTTGGAGCACACCGCGCTGATCGCGCTGTGGGTTCTCGTCCCCAGAGGGATACGAGCCGCCCTGGACCTGCCGTTAAACCAGTGTGCAGATCCCCATAGCGCGCCCAACCCATCGTGAGTTCAGCGGGGAAGGCTTTCTGTAGCCTGGCTCATCTCTCAGAGGCTTTGTGGATGTAGATAGATAGATGATGATGTGGGTATCCGCGCCGCCCTGGACCTGCCGTCAAACCACAGTGCAGATCCCCATAGCGCGCCCAACCCACCGTGAGTCCAGCAGGAAAAGCCTTCAGTAGCCCACCTCATCTCCCAGACGCTCTACGGATGTAGATAGACAGACAGACAGACAGACAGAAAAACGAAGATAAAGATGAAGATGTAGCCATTCCGCAACTCAAGTCACAAAATCATAGTCTTCTTCTCCTCCTCCTCCTCCTCCTCCTCCTCTATTCCCCTCTCCCCACGCTAACGGTGTGCGAGGAAACCCAACCCAGGGCTCTCTCTCTCCAGCGCACTTCTCCGCGCGCGGCAGAAAGAGAAACCCCCCCCCACGTCCCCTGAATCACCAGTCCTATCTCCACCAGCATCCTAAAGACCTACCGCGGAGTCTAGCTCCGATACCCCCCCCGTGGCGTTGAGATCGGCTTCCGCCACAGCTGCGCTGCTGCGCGCGCGTCGGAAGTCGCGTGCAGTGTATAGTCGTGTATTGACATTCAGCTCGGTTAATTTTTTTTTTTTTTTTTTTTTTTTTTCGCGCCCGGGTCGGGTCGCTTCGAGGTTTAGCCGACTATAAACAATCCCCCTCCCCCTCCCCCCACCCCTCCTTGAATCTGGGTTCCTGGAATCTACCTACTACGATGGGGCAGACGCGCTGGCTGGATGGCTCCTTCACGTGGGACGTACCGGGCAAACCTGGGAGCTTCTGTGATGGTAGGGCGTTTCTGCAGGCCGGGCCGGGTTCTTGGTAGTCACCATGATAGATAAGACCATGTCATTTCTTGGTCCGTTGAGGTTGAAAGGGAAAAAAAAGACAGCACCGAGAAACATCGCCGCGTTCTTAAACGACGATCTCTTTGACGAGTGATTGAAAAGAGTAGAAAGTGTATGTAGGGATACCAGAGGAGCTCAGGATGCCGAGGAGAACAATTTTACCAGGAAGCCTTTCTGGAAGTGATTCTCCTGATCCGAATGCTCGCACTTGGAACCAACCAAGCACGAGAGCGGCACTCGGCGAGCGCTTCAAATGAGTATCTTAGATTTTCCAAGTCTGGCTTCCACGAGCCTCAAAACCACGCGAGAATCCATTCCCCGAGGCCACAAATTCAAAGCGCAAACAACCCAACGTCAGGAATCCATCACAGTCACAACAGAACCACATCGTTCCAGCTTCCCCGTCAAGATGCAACAGCCAACGAAGCCGCAAAGCAGCATTACTGCCGCTATCCAAGCTCGGTATCAGAAGACCCGAAACGACTTGTCCGCCGCTCGCGCCCGAGAGGATTCGGACAACAGCTTCTATGCGAGCTTGGATTACGCTCTCCGACCAGACGATCAGGGCGCATCTACGGCGGCGAATATTCACGGGCACAAGACGCGGGACGAGCAGGATACAATCATCCGCAAGGCAGTCTTCACTGCGGTCTATGTTCAGGATATCAGCAAGCTCGTCACAGTAAGTGTTCCCTTGGGATGGAGACGCGCGCTCTTCCGGCCTGGAAGTGCGTCAGCCAGCAGGGCCGATGGAGAAGTCTACCCGATGGAGGATTCATTCGGCGTCAAGAGAAACACTAACAGAAGATCGAACTTTAGTTCCAATACGTCCGCTTCCAGGGCTGGAAGCTCGTCGGTCTAGATCAAGACGGCGATGCTCTTCCCGTCATTTTTGAAGGGGACAGCGGCACTGCCGGCAAGGACCATCAACACCCGGCGCCGGTCCCCAACGCGCACGACGACGTGTTCGACGACGGCGGCAATTACGGCCGGGGGAATGCCATCGTCAGTGGTGGTAGATACGAGCTTCCAAGACCACCCGCCAAATCCCCACGCCTTCATTGAGTAGCCCGCGAAGAGCAGACAGTTCTGGAGTGTCTGGTGACTGGTCTGTCCGAGGAAAACATTCACAAGCGCCTCATATTCCCTTGAGCTTTTTGGAAGGGGAACACCTAATGGCAGAGGCGATTGAAGTCTGTGGAGCCGAAATCATGGATGCGACGAATTCGAGAGACGAGCGCTCAGAAGTGGGAGCTCGATTGGAGAACTAATGAGAGCTGGCCCCATCAAGGAGGTTTTAGTTGTGATGGACTAGTCTACACCCCTGGAATGTGGACAGAGAGGCCTGCTTACAGTAGGTATTAAAGCTGCCAGGCTTGGCTGTATCTAAGGAGGTGTTCGAAGTAGGGAAAAAATGAAACAGAATGGTTCTTGAGAGCCGCAGTCATCCTTCCCTTCGACATTTACGACAGTGCTTTCTGAAATCTTCCGGGATTGCATGCCAGTGTGAAAACATTCGACAGCCACTTAATTCCAGCCACCGATGACATGAGTATTGACGACTGGAAAATTACCTTTACTGTTGGTCAGGAAGCATCACGAAAATGACGTTGCATCGGCAGCGCCTTGCAATTAAGACTACACAGCAACGAGAATGAGTTCGAAATTGATAGCGAGTTTACCCCTTCTCACGCCTCCTAGAAATAACGAGATATATGCCACGAGAGTCGTAAACACACGTGACATCGTCAAGAGATATTGCACCCAAGATATCGTTGGACGAGGAGAGGACATCAGCCCGCGCTTACGGCAATAGAAAAATTCGACCCTCGATCCAAGATACAATGCCGAAGCTGTGATATCGAGAAATTACGAAGGAGTATGAGCTTGACACCAGTGTAGTGATTGATAACCAGTAGGGAAACTTCTTCTAAGGGAAGCAGCTTGCCATGCGCATGCTGCATCCGTTAATCTGTATCCTGGATGACAGGGTAACAGTATAGGAGTCAACCTTGAATGGATGCGAGTCTTCGCGGGCAGAAACAGAAACAATGCTTTTGACAAAATAATGTTTTGGCGAAGTATCACTTGACAGTCAGTGATGGACACTGTGGCATATCGCGACCATCTCGCGGCCTGTTTGATGGGTTGGAGTATGAAATGGTGGTGTGGCGGCGTGGACAAGCCCTGCAGCAAGCACCTGACCCCCCAGACCCCAAGGATTTGATGTTATGCATTTGCACGCCTGTGATGCAGAGCAATACGAACGAGGTGGTGTCGGTGTCGGTGTGGAATGATACAGCCTTTGCGGATAGCAAATGATTTCGCCGGCATTGCATAGCGGGAAGGAGATAAAGATGTGAGATGAGGCAGACCGTCAGAGGAAAACAGCGGCATATCACATCTATTTGTCGGGTGCCGCAAGCATGTAAAGAGAAAACGAAGCATCGCAAAATGCAGCAAGAAAGCGCGTGTGGGAAGGGCGCCCAACTGATGCAAAGGCAATGAGCGACGTGCAGAAAAACCATGGGAAGGTGTAGTAGGATCGGGGGGGTTGACTCGAGAGCATCCGAGAATTGTGGTGTCTGCGAAAGTTCTTGTTTTATTATGAAAAGGGCCAGAACTCCGTGCCCCGAAAGACATCTCACGACCGATCGTGGTCTGTTTGTTTATTGGGAGAGTAATGTTGTTAGTGGGATTCCGCATCAAGTTGTTGAGTTTTGCCGGACCGACGCTGAGCCACCTGAGCTTTGGCCCGTAAACTTTGTCACATCCTGTATGGTGGTAGTGTAGCCGAGAGGGCGGAGGTTGCGGTCCAGCTACTTCGCTTGGTGCAGCACGAGTTGTTTTGATCTTGAAATTAGCTGTGCATATCTGGTACCACTCCTCTACTGCTGCTTTCCGGTGCAGCAACGCAAAGCATGTCGATTCAGGACATCGAGATGCTGCGGGCGAGAGGGAGAGGTGAAGTGAGAATGACCGGACAACGCTCCCGATGGTAAAATGAGGGCATGCAAGCGAGTCATCAGGCAGCCTCCGAACGCAAGACCTAGATTCACATTGATTGCTTTCCCCAAAGCTGCCGCCGATGCCCTCCTTCTTTGGCCTAGCTGATGAAGATGGATGGATACAAGCACACGGCGATAGCAGTGGTGGCAGGAGTCGAGCATCGGAATTTACACATTCCTCCCTATGCTCGGCATCCTGGGTCAACAATGGTTACCCGAGGTCCTGGCCCTCGTGCCTCCTGGATCCTTATTTGTTTCCACCGGCTTACCGGTATCACAAAATTGCATCCCAACGCGCGAAACTCACGGCGTTTGTGGCTCGGCCGGATGGGCAAGAGAGTCAGTCTACCGCTCATCATTTGGGCCATGCGCCATGGGAGCCACTTCATATTGCTTTATCGCAGGTTGACAGAAACAAGTTCCGGAGCAGGAAAAAAGTCGTATCCGGAGTGGGTGGTATCAGTCGCCTTGCGCTGTCCAGTCCTGGTCTTTGGCCCGGGACCCCCCGTCAGATCAGTCTTTCCACGAAAATGGTTTGATCTGTCTGACCCTTGGATGCTTTTTCGAGGGTGATACCTATGGAGGTGTGATCGGTATGAAAAAAGTAAGCGAGCCCGCAACCAACAAATCCCAGCAGATTCTCATCTGGACCCGGGACGCTTGGTAAATGAGTGGATGCGCCTGTGCAAGCCACGCTGCGCCGTCATGTAGTCCCACTACGTACGGAGAGCCTCCTGATCGTCCTGGAGGCTGGGGAGCTCTTGGGTGGAATGTGAGGCTTGGAAAGTCGTAATGATGAGCTGTCTGAGATTTGGTGCATAAGTACCGGTACAGCACCGTCCCGACTGTATGAACCGCGGTTGACGATCAAAAGTGACCAAGCGTGGATTGGTGTTGGTGTTGGTGTTGGCAGTGGTTTTGGTGTTGGTATTGGGTGTTGGTCTGCTTTGGCGACCCGGGCCCGGGCGGGGACGGGCACGGGTCGGTGACTTTGGATGTCAATACGCATCGCCATGAGCTAATCAATCATCAAGTCGAATTGCGGGCGGGCGTGGTGCGAAGGGGTAGATGTCGAGATGGGGATAGCGGTAGTTCAGGGGAAAAAAAAAAAAAAAAAAAAACTAAATTCCAGATGGTTGATCTGTTGGATGGATGGATGCACCTATCCGAGGGATAACAGCACCCCTGCCCGGTCAGCCTCGCCCTAATCTATCAATCTAGTCCAGTTCGAGCGAATTCTGCCCGTCTGTCTCCCTCTTCGTATCGATTATGGATTCTCACGACGGTGACTGCCAGATAAGAACTTGAGAAGACAGTCAGTCAGGACGGACCCAGCAACGACAGGGTACGAATCCTCTTCTTGATACCGAAGTCGGTCGCCACTCGGCTTGGGATTCATGAATGAATGACCTCCTCCCCAAGCATGATGGATGCTACTACGGTACATCATCAACGCACGAGAGGGGGTTTGGTTCATCACTTCGTGTCTCTCCTCTCTCCGTACCCACGGCATCGGCGTCGGCGATCTCCACAGACGGGCATCCCGCCAGCAAACCACCAATAAGGCGCCACTGGCTGGGCCACTGGCTGGGCCAACCCCCCACATCTACCGTAGGTATAGTACTATAGGTAGGTATATCATCGCCGGAGACGAAAGGAGCACGAGACGGTGAGATGTGAAGTTTGAAAACTATATGCCACCTTTTCGGGCTTTGGTCTTTGACTCTTTGGCTTGATGCCTGTTGCGGTTGTCACGATGCGACGCGCATTTGCCGAGCATCCATCACCTCCGATCCGAGATCCATATCTTCGACTCTTCCTGGAGCCGAGCGAAGATTGATTCATTCTAAGCGAGACTTGCAGTCGGGCGCTTGACGACGAATACCTCCGGATAACTAAAATAGCTAGTTACGGATGAAATAGGCAATAGCACGCGGGGGGGTGCGCAAGGCTGGGTCTGTTTGAGCCGTTGCCCCAGCTCTTCTATTCTTTCAACTTTTGCTACGGCCCAGCAGGGAACATGGATCTACAACATCTGGGAAAAGAAAAAGGAATTCGGGTCTCTAAGCAAGGCGGAGTAGAAAATCTATTTTCATGAGCGAAGAGGGGGGCATCTGAAAGAGAAGGGAAGACCTTTCCTTTCCTTTCCTTTCCATGGCTGTTCATCCTGCCCCGAGAGAGCACCACCCACGGGCCCGCGATTACGAATATTGTAGGCTACGTACGAGATCGAGCGGATTGGAATGCATGCACCGCACCGCATGAGGCGAATACTGTCGAAACACGACGATTCGTCGCTCTCGAGCGGATTGGATTGGATTGGAATGAATGCACGGCACCACTCACTAGATACGCGAATGCCTTCAGCTTCCGATTTGATTCATCATCATGGCTTGGACCCTAGGGTGGTTGGTGATATGCACTTCGCTCCCTACGAGCAACGGCACAGTTTGGGACAACCAACATGATCCAGCGAGCCGGTGGAAGGACGTGACTATCCGAACTCCGGGCGCTTTCAGACCTGGGGGGAGGGGTTTTTTTTTTAGCAGGCCTTTATCAGGCCCGAGCATGATTAATTGGATGGATCATTCGCATATCTCAGACATGGACCAGCGGCGCATCTGCATCTCAACTCATCGACGGAACTAGGCATCTTTCTCCGGCTGGAAGTGCATCATGCTATCCTCGGCTCGGTCTGCCTTTGGAGAAAGGAAGGATGGAAGAAGGCGTTGCGAAGATCGTCGACAAACATGAAATCCTTCCTTGTATCATCCATCGTACCCGTATGTGGTTGTGTGGTTGTGCGTATGGGATAGTGGGTTTGGGTGGGGGATGGGGGCGAAGGGGAGCGTAAGCCACGTCCATGGTATGTACCGGTACCGGTATGGTATGGCCTACCGGTACCTACTGGATGCGAAGAGGAACGTGGTGGCCTCTCGCCTCGCGCCTCGCGCCTCGGTCAGCATCTATCTACTACGTATCAAGCCCACACGAGAGCCGGCCGGCGCAGCCTGGTTCGAGACAGTCCGGAGAACTCTATGAGATGTGACTCTGACACTCTGACACGCGTACGGGGTGATGAGGATACGAGTTGTGGATGTTTAATTACCACTGAGAAGTTTACGGAGTAAGGAAAGCTGCCTGCCTGCGTGCCTGCCGAGCCGCAGCTGTCCACGAGCGGCGGCACTCTGGGCTGTACAGACTCGCGCTGATCTGATCTCGACTTTGCATCTCCATCGACGCTGAGTTGAGTTTGTGCTTGCCAGCCTTGGCCTTGGGGGGGGGGGGGGGCATTAAAAGCGTCCGCTGTGCTCAGTGCCCAGTGCCCAGTGCCCAGTGCCCAGTGCCCAGTGCCCAGTGCCCAGTGCCCTGTGCACCACACACAGGCGAACATCTGCCGCAGGCTGAGCAACGACTTTTGACTGTACATTAATCGTGTATGTATGGATGGATGGATGGATGGATGGATGGATGTATGTGATACCTGGAATACCTGATAGGCAGCTCATCGCTCATCGCTCATCGCTCAACAAGCAGCGCGGGGGCCCATGACCACACGCAGCCCGCGGGAAGACTCTGTCCGGATACAGCTCGGGAGGAGGAGCTGCGTACGGTGCCGGGTACCTTTACTTAGCACGTCTCAATTCCAATGGTGGGAAGAAGATACTCGTACTACTACCGTATCTCATCCTCAGCATTTGGATCGATAGCCCCGTGACCAACCAATCAAGTGGTGTCTAGGACGGGGATTCAGACTTTTGGGGAACGGAATTGCGTCGGGAATCGGCTAAACCCAGGGCCCCAAGGCCGGACCTCCTTGCGATTCGCTCGGGGCGACGTCTCTCCCCGCGGGGCACTTTCATTGGACGGCTGCATATCCGTTCGTGGTATGAAGTTTTCCAAGAATGGACCAAAACAGAGATTGGCAGAGCAGATTCCAGCCATTCCGCGACTGCGTCTCATGTTCAGTTCAGCTCATCAGTCATCAGCAGCCACCGATCACCGATTCACCGATCACCGATCACCGATCACCTATCACCTATCACCTAGGTAGCAAGCACCTAGGTAGCAAGCACCTCGCACCTCGCAACCTCTCACCTCTCCACTCACCCACTCGTGCACTCATCCAGCCGCTACTGCTGTCGCTACTACTACTACTACTACTACTTATTGCTTTTGCTTTTGCCTTTGCTTTTTTGCCTTCGCCTCTGCCTGTGCTTTTGCTTTTTTACCTTTTGCACCTTTTTCCTTTTTCCTTGTCACCTCCGGAGAACGGGGAGAACAGGGAGAACAGGGAGAACAGGGAGAACAGGGAGAACAGGGAGAACAGGAGCGCCTACCCACCACCCACCCGCCTTGCCCACCTACTTACTACCTGCCTTGCCTTTCTTCCCGGCAGCATCCATCTGGGTATCCATTCATCCATCCATCCATCCATCCATCCATCCATCCATCCGCCCCTCCATCCGTCCATCCATCCATCCATCCATCCATCCTGCTTGTGTCGTGCCCATGCCCATGCCATGCCATGCCATGCCATGCCCTGCTCTCCCTGCTCTCCCTGCTCTCCCTGCTCTCCCTGCTTGCTGGGGTGCCACCGTGACCGCTGCCATTCCTCTGTCCGTACGTGCCGTACGGAGTAGATAGAGTCTTGAGTCTTGACTGACTGAGCACGACTGTTCGCCACGGGTTTCGCTTTGCCTTTCTTTGCCTTTGCGCTGCACTCACCTCACGCACCGCACGGCACGCGGCCTTGGATGGTGCTCGGTAGCAGGCCGGCCCTGATTGGCGGCCAGCGGATTATTGGCTGCAATCCAAGGAAAGTACGACTACTACTACTGCTACTACTACTAGAAGTACGGAGAGTAATTTGAAGTAAAAAGACTCCGGACCGTAGTGTGAGGCATGCATGTACCACTAGGGAGGTACTAGTAGGTAGAAGCACGTAGTCGGAGTCGTAGTCGTAGTCGTCGTAGTCGTAGTCGTCGTAGTCGTAGTAGTCGTAGTAGTCGTAGTAGTCGTAGTAGTCGTAGTAGTCGTAGTAGTCGTAGTAGTCGTAGAAGTAGTAGTCGTAGAAGTAGTAGTAGTAGTCGTAGTAGTCGTAGTAGTCGTAGTTGTCGTAGTTGTCCTAGTAGTCCTAGTAGTCGTAGTCGTAGTTCTACAGAGTATGTCGGGGCCACCTCGCAACCGCGTGCTGACTGACTGACCATTAGCCGCCAGAAGAAAGCGTCTCTACGCCCGTCCCGTATATCCCCCGAGGTGCGTTTCTAGCTGGGATGCTGGTGCCGGAATATCCCTCACCCCGCCCCACTGAAGCCCCAACTGGAAAAGAGCCCCGACGGCTGCAACGACCTTGGCAATCATGGATACGTGTCGTTATTGAAATTGTCCGCTTTCTGGCCAGACAACCCGCCACCGACTGACTCTGTAGACAATCTACCTTTGACAAGTACCTACCGGTACCACTACTTACTACCTACTAAAAGTAGTGATAAGGACCTCTAAGTAACTTTCTTTCATGAAGCGATGGAGACGTACGGGCGTATTGTGGCTCCTTACGTACAGCCAGCGCCAGCTCGCTGTCTCGCGTTCGTTTGTTACGTAGTGGTAGAAGTAGAATTGACTAGGTCCTTGGAGTAACTTCGCACATGCCCGGCCGGCCCTCCCTCCCCCCTTTCCCGTTACCCTCCTCGAACGCTCCCCTACATTACCCTCCCCTAGAGTACCCTCCCCTAAGAGTACCCTACCCTACCCTACCCTACCCTACCCTTCGTACCCTACACCCTTCAGTCTTGGTCTGGTCTCACTCGGGCAGGCTCAAGCAGGCTCAAGCAGGCTCAAGCAGGGCCCACAAGCAGGCGTAGGCTTTGGCTTTGGCTTTGGCTTTGGCTTTGGCTTTGGCTCTGGCTCTGGCTTCTAGTAGTAGTACTACAGTAGTAGTAGCTCGGGATCTGGCTCTGGCTCTGGCCTATTTTACGGTCCAACTACTCAGTCCAACCCAAACAAAATAGTAAACACCCCCCCCCCAGTCTCCCCTTCCCCTTCCCCCTACCCCCCTCCCCCTGCTCCCCCCAAGCCCCTACTCAACTGGCTTTGGTGCATCGGCGGCGGCCTGTGACATCAACTGAACCTTGAATGACTTCTTTGAGATCAGCCTCCACTCATTGCAATAACCTCCCATATCACAAGTTGTGCCATTAATTCCTTCTTTCTTATCCATCACCTTGTCTCGAAACCATCAAGCCAATCCAATCCAATCCAAACCAGAACCAGACCAGATCCCAGGCCTACCCGCTTCCATACCTTATCCACCACATCCACCTCTCGAACCCCATCCCATCCATCACTTCATTCCTCTCATCCTACTTAGCTAGTGTCTTCTGCCCGCTACCGCCTCTGTTTTGGGCTTAGCTCGGCTGTTCGAGATTCCCGTCATTCTTAGGTCCCCAGTACCAATACCTTTAATTCACTCCGACCGCGTCTTGACTATAACTCTGGAAAGGGCCCCGAGATCCCGCCCAGTCTGGCTGTAATTGCCCTCACCATATTTCCACCCTCTCTGTCCCTCGGAACAGTGATTGCTCGGCTCTTCACCCAGCCAGCCCCCTCTCGAATATTATTCCTCGCTCTCCCCCTCCCAGAACTGGTACATCTACGAGTACTGGTTCTCTCTTCTATGGCTCTCCGGTAACAACACTCGAAGAAAGGCGAAGCAGCCCGCCGTCGATACGGGAGGTCAATTTGGGAGTTCTGGAAGCTCTTGGTGTAAGATTGTGGCCCACCCGAGGCAGACCCAGACGGTGATCGGGGTATTCTCTCGAAGTCTCAAATCCCCCCCCGAATGGAAGAATAATACACGATCGACAACCCTCCGCACCGCCTCTCCCGCCACTACCTCCATATCCATGTATCGAACTGCGGCAAGACCGGCGCCGTTGGATTTTCCTCTCCCTTCCGCACCCTCCACCTACCAAATCGACCGGAGGAAATCTACTGGGTTGCCCTACACCCTCCCAAATCCTAACCCCTTCTACCTCGAGGCATCGAGTAGGGACGGGCTTCGAACACCTCCCTCCGAAGACATGGCCACCGTGTACCAGAACCCTACGTGCGGCAATGGCTACGGGGCCGGTCGAAACGAGTACCTTCCGGTGGAGGCTCCTCCAAGCAACTACGGGGGATCGTACAACAATGGAGCCAGCAGACACTCTAGGCAATACGTTTCAATAGCACAACCGCCTCCAGCTTCTGCCTCGACGTTGCGGAGAGAAGTCCAAGGATCTCAGCCTATTAACTCTCAACCGCCAAGCCCGCAACCAACCCAGCGGACGAGTTACATCACACACGAAGAGCCCCGTCGAAAGAGTGCGAGTGAGGTGACCAGGCCAAATCTGCAGATCCCGAAGACGATCAGCGATGACGGCGGAAGTCTGGCCGAGTTTGCCGCGCAGGTATGTCCCGGGAGCAGAGCCCAAAAGGTGGTTCCCGTCACTAAAACCTTCTAGATTACGTGCCTGTTTTGGTTTGAAGCCACCGAGACTCTGAAGCTGGCTGAGAAGCCTCTATCGCCGTCGACCACCGTCAAGAGGTTGGAGAGAGAAGCTCTGCCGTCCAGCGGATTTCGAAGATGGGTCGCGACGATCTTGTCCACAACACAGGTCACCGATAATGTCATCCTCCTGGCCTTGCTATTCATCTATCGCCTGAAGACGAGCAACCCGGCGGTCAAGGGAAACAGCGGGAGCGAGTACAGATTGCTGACGGTGGCGTTGATGCTGGGAAACAAATGTAGGGCGCTCTCCGGGGGTGGCGAATCCAGCTTGCTGACATGGCTCTAGTCCTGGATGACAACACGTACACCAACAAGACCTGGGCTGAGGTTTCGGGAATATCGGTCGGGGAAATCCACGTGATGGAAGTCGAGTTCTTGAGCAACATGCGTTACAGCCTTTTGGCATCCACGGAGCAGTGGGCGGAATGGCAGGGGAAGCTGAGAAATATTCGCAATTACTGCACCAAAGCAGCAGAGCCGCCGGTTCTGGTCTCGCCGCCAGGGATGTCGTCTCTGCGCCCGAACTTCCCATCGCCCCCCTTGTCCCAAGGCTCTCCTCCCACGCACTCCTACATCCCTCCAGCGGCACCTTTCGGGAATGGACAGCAGTGGCCTGCTGGCAAAGCTCTACCACCAATCTCGTCACCCCTCTCGAACCGTCCTGATCTGGAACACCGAGGGCACTCTCGGAAGCGGACTTCTGACAGAGAGGCAGAGGAGCCGGTGGCGAAGCGGATCACGAGACCACATGTCATCTCCGGACAGTACAACCCGACTGGCAATCCTGCTGCCCAGTCTATCCCTTCATTGAGATCAGAGGCTCGTCGATTGCCTGTGCCGGACCTGACCATTTCCACCAGCCAGCCGATGAGCAGTGGATACAGCGCGCCCGCCACATTGGCTCCCGTCCTACCCCCGTTGGCTGGCCGAGGGGTGTCCAGTGGTTACCCAACGACACCGTCCTCTTGGGCACCGCCCATCCCCATGCTCACACCCACCGGACCAAACCAGTCAAATGGATATTCAACGCCTTCTCGGCGACACAGTCCTCATTCTGTCCAGGACCTCTTGTCCCATGGTTCATCCCCAGTCTCCGCAACTTACCAGGACCAACACGCGAAGCACTTTTCGCCCTCATTTTTCCTGCAACAACGCACGTCGCCGTACAGGCCTGTCCGATACGTCAACACGCTTCTCCACCCGCCCCCATCTGCGTCGATGCACAACTACCCGATCAACACCGATCAGATGATTTACCAGCCTTTGGGCAAGAGAAACGACAACCGCGTGGGGATCGTACCCGAGTACAACCACACCCCCTACCAACAGCAGTGGCCGGCTATCCGTCAACCCAACTTCCACGCCTGATTGGCCGGCCATCCCCTCCCTACTCGTTCTCCCGGCGCCCAACGATCGTCACTAGAGCATATTTCATTCACGGTCCTTTTAAAAGAAAGTCGAGCCTAGAGTGAGCTCGCGTTGTATTGCATGGCCTGGCGTTTTTCCCTTATTATTACAATGCAGCGTAGCAAGAGTGCGCAGCTGATATACCATTTGCATGGCCGGGTGTTTGGGGCGGTATGGATTCGATGCTGATGCGCTCGACCTACCTTTTGTATTTTTTAATTGCGTGCTTCCCGAAGACGGGCCATGGTGGACTGCGAGCAGCCTGACTTGGGAGGTGGGTGAGCGCGATGTTCTCCTGGATGGGGCGGTGGGGCGGTGGTTCGGGGAGAGCCTGAGGAGACAGATGGCAGCGGCACGTCTCAGATAGCCATATACATGTAATGGAAACACTTGCCTCCCCACGAGAAATGGTAGCTAGCGTGAGCGCGATGAGTAACTGCCGAGATTGATCTCTCCGCAGAGCAGACGTACTACGTCGCAGGCGTAAGTATTACGCCTCGAGGGTATGGAAAA